TGATATTAAACACAGTTTTATGCTATAGGGCCAATGTCTTTCTAATTCAGTTATTGGGACTAACAGGAACAAGAGAGCCAGGGTTTATTGATTTAAAATGCCTTAAAGGTAATAAATTCATTTTATGTTTATGGCTATTATAAACAGATTGATACTTATAGATTTGGGATAGAGATGGGTACCTAGATAGCTAGACACATAAATAGATGGATAGATAGATATAATATAGAAGGATAGGTAGATAACGGAAATGCAGATATAGGACGATACTGAAGATAGGAACAGTAAGGGATAGAGCAACGTCGATCTGGCGCTGCTCAGTGGCTGCCGGGCTCACGATCAATTGGGCAAAAAGAATTTCCGTTTCGGTTTAATAAAATTTGGAGTGGACTATTAGGCTATTATTATTATTATTATTATTATTATTATTATTACATGTAGGGGGAAGGAAAGAATTATACACATTTATTTAAAAAAATTATGTTATTTACTCATCCAATCATTCATTCAATCATTCATTCATCAATCCATCCAAACATTCTTTTTCTTCTTCTCTCACTCATTTTATATCAAATTCACACCTTATGTCTTTCACCTATTCTCTAGAACATCTCTATATGTCTGAAAGAATAATTCAATTCTTTACAGTTCACTAGAAATATATATAAATATTCTTTAAAAACAGCTGATCATTGATGTAATAATTATTTATTCACACCACTTTTTTTCTCCATAAAACATATTCTCCTTGATACAGTGTATTTCTTATTTTCTTCATCAACCAGTTTTTAGAGAATAAACTTATGATAATTTGATTTGAAGAAAAAAAATGAATAAATGAACCTTTTATTACCACACATGTGTTGAATATTCTACAGCATAGGCATTTAAGTATTGACATTTTATTGTATTATAATACATCACAATTGAAAGGACAGACATTGCACAAACAACATCTCAGATTTTAGCCCCAGATTTACTAATTACAAAGACATTTCATCGAGTAATAAATGCAAACCAGAAATAGTAATTGAGCATATATATTTCAAGTCACCTGTATTGCTATGAAGAACTATAATTGCAGAGACTTACATCTCAGGATACTGCAATACACTATTCAGTGAAACCTCATAGTAACAAGGCCTTTTGACATCATTATTCATCAGGTATAATAATAGTTTTGAAACTGATTACCCTCAAATGTACACAGTAGATATACTAGACAGCCAAAGATTGCACAATCTTATGGGTTTACATCTAGTGACATTATTCCATATAGTTGTTCTGTTATCAAAAATCTTCAAAAGCAGTTTTCCATTTTGGGCCAAAATTCAAACCTATGTACAAAACAGATCTATGGGTGTGTATAAGGTGTGCAACTGTGCATTACACAAAGCTTTTCAATTGCCACACATCTGTGAATTCTTCTCGTTTATTGAAAACGTGGCTCACTTGATGTGAATTTCTTGCTTTTCATCGTTAATGATGCAAATCACTTGGTTGAGAGCAATCCAGACAATGTTATAAAAAAGGTCTACATGTTTATCTCTGGTTATTTATACCTGCAGAATCAAAGCACATGTAGAGTGCAAATAATTTGCAAAAAAATAGAGCAACTGAATCAGATACAGCAGGTACAATTATGAAGCTTATAGAGTAAATATTCAAATACAGTGTACCTCACAACAATTCAAAATTCAAGTGCATTAAGTTCCACTTTTAGTTTGCCTTCGTGTAAAGTTAACGAACAGAACATTATAGTTAAGTTGTGCAACTGTCACAATGTGTCCCAAGAATTTTATTTCATTACACAGAACAAAAGTCTCAGATTGTTCTGTTTTTCTTGAAGATTTTTGAAAGCTCTCTCCAGTTTTAAACGGCTTCACAGTCAATCATCCATTGGATAAGCAATGCAGACAAGAGGCAAAATATAAAAGACTGATCTGTCTTTGTAGTTTGTACGTATGAAGTTCTGTTTTCTTTTTTGCATAGACTGAGGAATTTTCTCCTTGAAGTTTGCTCACTATAAAAAGAGAAAAAACAGGTTTTTCCTGACTTCAAGGAGGGCTTTAAGCCCTGGTCTCCCCAACATTTGCAACAGTGTATAGACTAGCTACAGAACAGTTGTAATTGTAAAACACAAGATGTCACTATATAGTATCATTCTCCAGATCAAGAAAGCCTATTTACATCGTAGCCAATCCACACCAGACACAATCCCTGTGATGTGAATTTAGATGTCATGTCCAACAACTACTTGAAACTTGTAAAATGCTGGAACATGTGTATTGAAGCCCCTCTAAAGTGTTTGGAGCCCCACAAATTTGATGGCAAAATTTCACTTAAATTGTATAATGTGAAATAGGATGCCATTTAACATACAATTCTGTAGGTTTTTATAAACAAATATGTTTGAAAACAAATATTGATGAAATAAGACAAAGTTGGGGTTTTCTGTAAATGCGTTCTCTCAAAATTTGTGTCGAAGTAGGTCAAGCTGATCCTGGCTAATGAGCTTGCTTTCGTGGACTTCCTGCAAGAGACTGCAGAGAGTCCTGGTTTTCCCATCTCTCCTGTCTTCTGTTTCACCACTTTAAGCTGTTTCTTGGCATCCTGCAGTTGCTGTCTGGTTATCTTCAGTTTCTGATCAACTCAGACCAGAAAAAGAATAGTCATGTTCTTTTGTAATGTCATAGGGTTTCTTTGGAGGCACAAGAACACTTTCGGATGTTGTACATGGTTTTGCTGGGAGTCTTGAGCCATAGGTCTGTTTATAGGGAGGATGTCCAGGAAAGACAGTAGGCACAGCACTCAGGAAGGAGATAGTGGTGTGTAACATCCTTTTCCTCTCTTGGGTGGATTCCTGCATTACAATAAAAGCAAATGGAAACAATAATGAGTTTTTTCTCATAATATGACAATTGTTCTACCATTCATGCTATTTCATATGATTTTTAAGACTGAAACTGAAAGCAGCTTTCAGCCAATCGCGAAGCAGTATTTAATAATGATGTCAACAAGTCATAAGCAAATTTGATAGAAATATTGTAGTGTGCGGTGGGCTTTATAGGCTAGCCTAGCCTAGTTGGATAACTCTGTGATGTGAAATATGGCAGGCTAGCCTAGCTTTGCTTTTCGGGCTTTAGAAATTAGAGTTTAGATCTAGACTAGATCTATCTAGATCAAGACTAGAGGTCTAGTAGTAGAGTCTAGATCTAGATCTAGTATAAAGAAGTTGACATTATAAGATAAAATTAAGATAAGATAACATTAATTATATATTCTAGACTTTTCGTTAATAGAATCAAGCTCATGGAGTTAATATTTCCGAGTTGGACTCTCTGACTCTTGGAATTGCGACTCAAGCGCAGCAGAATTTTCCCATCACCGTCCCCAGAACCTTAACCCATGGACTGGCGCGCTCCGCTGCTGCAGGAACGTTAGCTGCGGTGGCTTGTCATGAGACAATACCCGAGTACAGTCACTGCATAAACTACATTTTTAGCTCTAGAATCTCCTTATTAATCAACATAACATTAAGAAGAACTTACTTGTGAAAGATTATGCAGCTCCCTTTCTTTCTTCGGTTCGAACAACCAAATGCAACGCACGAACCTGGCTTCTCCAAATTTGTCCACGTATGTTGTGCACAGTATCTTGTTGGGTCATTCGTTTTTCTATTCTTAGTAATGGCGGCCAAAGCTCCAGGTCGGCACAGCAATTTGAGCGAGTACGCCCTCTAGTGTTAGTAGTATATAGCTCTATGATCTAGACCTACTTAGCTTTTCACTTGTTTCAGGTCCAATTATTTTACATATCTTTCCCTTGGCTTCAATACACCGCTTTATGGTTACAAGAGTGCGCATTCGCAAATATGGGTGCCATTTTAATTTATGAGTAGATCTAGACTAGACTAAACAAGTTTGTTAAGGCCTAGAATCTAGATCTAGGATAAGGAAATGAGCACTAAATTTTGTTTTGGCCCTCAAAAATTGAATTGCACCCCCCCCCCCCCCCCTTGAGCTCCAGGGGAGGGGGCCCATCTCCAAACAAAGGTAAAATTATCATGTTTTTACACGTTTTTTCCCCAGGGGTGGGGGCCTGCCCCCCCCCCCCCTCCCTGGATCCACCACTGAGTTTGACAGTAGACTCACGATTTGAATTTTCTAAATATTCTTTCTAACATCGGTAAGTTGAAAAGATTTATGTAATATTGGATGGCTTTGAGTGTGATACAAGAGTATATTGCTCAAGCTATCACAATATTGGATGAGTCTAATATTGTCTTAGCGAGAGCAATATATTCTTTTATCACACAAAAACAAAGCCATACGATATTATTATTATTATCTGTATTATTCTGACTAGCAAAATAACAAAATTTAACTTACCTTGGTAAATATTGATTTGTTTTCGTGTGACATCGATATGACATTAATATCAATAGTTGGAAGTTCCTGGATGACTGAGCATTACGAAAACAATATTGGTCGGTCATCCGGGCACTGCGCTAAAGATATTTAATACACTGATTTATTGTACCACTTGGAAGCCTTATATAGATAATAATGTATTTTATGGCTATTTAGGTGTCATCAATTGTCACTAAAGTACCGATTTTGAGTGAAATCAGTTGAGTTTTGTACAGTGGTGTTTGAAATGTTGAGAATCAAAAGCAAAGCTTTTACTACACAGCCAGGATAGTGATGCTCCTATGTGTGGGTTAGAGTTAGGGTAAAAAAGAAGAAAAACTTGAAATTTCATACCGGTAATCAAATTATTCCAGGAATAGTGAGGGGATGATATCAAAACCTCGCTAGTTTGCATACAGCTATCACTGTTCCTTGAAATTATGCGAAACTTTAGAATTCCATAAATTTCCTATATCTTTTTCAATTTTCATTAAATCTTCCGAGAGAAAAAACTAGAAATGAAATAAATTCATATGTATTTCTCTCCCTAAATATTTTTTCTTCTTCATGATGTATCTTCAAATGTAGCCCAAGAAAGACTTTGGAAGATGTCTTCTGATAGAGCTCCGTCAAAGTCAGGAGTAAGGTCCAAGGCACTCTCATCATCAAACAGGAGTCCAAGACAAGGTTCCTCATCTCTGTACCATGGAAACAAAGATTTGTCTCCCAGGATATCGTTGGACCTACAAACTGGTAACCAAACACATCTCAATAGATCACCTTCACCTCAGATCAATGGCAGGGTAACACCACTCTGTCTTGACAGAGGATCACCATTGGACCAGCTAGAAAGGGGTCCTAGTGGTTTAGATGACAAGAGTAACAAGCCCAGACTACCACCTGTGTCTCCTTCCATCAAGAAGAAATCTTCAAAGCAGGTTTCCCCAAGACAGAAGTCGGGGACGAGGGCTCTGGTGCCAAAGTCTACAGGAGCCATCGCCTCTCTCAAGGCAGCCAAAGAAGCTCTGCCCATGGTTAAGAAGGATGGCATGTATTTCCCTAAAGGTCAGTGCATTGCTTCTGTGTGCCAGGGAGGTGGTGAAAGACAATGTTGGAGAAGGAAGCTCATAATTTGACAATTAATCTCATTAAAACATGATTTCTTGTAATGAACATTAGACATAACATTATGTGTTGGTTTTTAGTAAATTTCTAGAGTTTAATGTTGATAATTAGATCATTAGCTATAAATAAAAAGTTTATACTTTTTGGGATAATCAAAATATTCATTACGCTCAAGGTCAGAACCTCTTTCTATAAATGCCCCGCATCGATTCGAAGAAGGGTCAACAAAATATAACTTTTTCTGGTCCTACTATTTGGAATAGTCTCCCATTAAGCATTTGTTCCTGCTCCTCAGTTGGATCTTTTAAGAGAAATCTCAAAACTTATTTGTTTTTTGAGAAGACGTTGTATGGAGTTGTGTGGGATGTGAACGAGGTTGTGTACTGTATGAACCAGGCTTGGTTCATGTTGTGAACAAATTTTTTGAATTACTTTACACAGCTTTACACAACAAATTTACAGTGTATGCACTCGGAGAGCTAAATGATTATTCTGTTTTATTTACTACTGTAAAGCGCATTGAGCATGTTTTTGTAAAGGCGCCAGGCGCTATATAAATATCAATATGTATGTATGTATGTATGTATGTATATTTTTATATTTTCAACCAATTTTTGTTTTGTTTAATTACAATGCCCCATAATGGATCAATTCACAAGTATGTTAAATGTGGCACTATGCATATGGAATGAATTTTGACAATAAATGGTTATGCCACATTAGAAACCTTGGATTATATGGCAGTTGGGTTTTCAGCCATTTTTCATTGATTATTTACATTACACAGGATACACCTGTCGTCCCATCATTCCTGCTCAAAAAGCTGAGCTGATCGACGTAGCACGAGCAATGAACAGAGAGGAGTTTGGTCCAAGAGTAAAGAAACTGTTTGATCCTGAGACTGTAGCTGCTACTGAAGCTATTAAATCGGGTATGTATCAGCCCTGTTAACATTGTATTTGTAAAGGTTTCAAATATCTATAAAGTTGTTCTCTCATTTTACCACCGATTGGACTGTTTGTACAGTGATCACAATACTGTCTTATGGTTGTCGAAGGCAAATCATCATCAAATAAAACTGTCCGACTAATGAGAGATTCTGAAATTTGATCATTTCGTTAATCGATTTGCCACCATCACTGGTTTGAAGTCATCTGCACAGATAGTTTACAGGTGATATGGGATAACTTCTATGACACTATTCATGAAAAAATAAACGAACACTTTCTTTTAAAGATGATAAAGCAACATCAAACTGACATGCCATGGATAAACTCCGTACTTAAAATCTCTTATCCGTCAACTGCAAGCTGGAGAGATCTTTAAAACAAAGTGGCTCATTCAATTTTAATCTCTGTAAGGCAAATTTTATGTTAACATAGTTCAACAGTTTAAACGCAATAATCTTTCTAACTGGCACAAAAACATCAAAACGATGACTGGGAAATCAAATGTCAGAATAGTGAGATACAATTTCTTTGCTAATGTTAGTGCTGTTATACTTGAACTTTGAGCAAATTGCCCTCTTAAATACCTTCCCTCGCCAACACCTCCTCCAATGATCCAACCATAAGAAATCTACAAGGAGCTGAAAAAATCAATCCAGGGAAGTCAGGCGGACCTGATGGAATCCCTGCGCATCTTTTTTTCGAGAATTTGCACTTGAGCTGTCCACTCTGTGCAAAATTTTGAAAATTCATATTCACTAGCTCTCGTACCATCTCAGTGGAAAAAGGCCATCATTGCTCCAATTGATTGCGTGTAATGGAAAAAGGAAATGATGTGATATCCGCCCGGTCAATTTCAAGTCAATAAGAAATGCTTTAATTCGTCTTAAATTAATTTGCATACGTTTCAGGCCATTTTGAGCATCTTTTTTTTTTTTTAAATCACGCACACGTGCGCGTATTCGTTCGTCATGGCCGTACGCAATATACAATCGCCATTGTTTTCTGTCATCTTATTCCCTATTTTTTTTCAAACAATTTGATACTAAGTTTATCTCTTAATGACCATTAATAACGGAATGAGGGTCCATTCAAGATCAATGTCCGTGCGTGCGAGCTCTTGTAATGCATAGGATATATGGGCAAAAACATGCATATACAAAATCCATTATAGCTCTTTAGGGTGCCCTTTGACCACCAACTTTCTTTTCATATTTGAATAGATTATGAATTGTAGATATGGTTTCATGTCTCATTTGTCCTCTAAGTTTATTGTAACATCATTATAATTCCTTGGAACTCAAATAAGAATTTGCATATTATGACGTCACCATATTTATGGAAAAAGGATTGTAATTCTGTAAATATTGATCGATTTTCTTCAAAAATTTGATAAGTTGTAGCTGTGACAATTCTTAACAAGATCAACGTCCACCAGATTTAATAACAGACCACCTAATTCGTCCAAATGACGAATTACATTTCTTGTTTTTTATTTTAAATGTGTGTGGTAAAGGGTGAAACAAAAGCACACCCCCCCCCCCCCCCCCCCCCCACTGAACAAAATATCGGTAGGCCTAATTGTCCAATTTTCAGGACCAAAAAAAAAATGTGCTCAAGAACCTATGGAAGGATTCCCGCCAAACTAGTGTCGTGTATGTATCTTGCAGAGCCAATGAACTGATTAGATTTTGGGGTCACAAGGTCCACGGTCCAAGGTCAACAGGGCTCATTGTGTATGCAAAAAAATCTTGTGATCGCGTTATCTCAAAAACCGGTTGATGGATTCTGGCCAAACTTGGGTCATGTATGTATCCTGCAGAGCCAATGAAATAATCAAATTTTGGGGTCACAAGGTCAAAGGTAAAAGGTCAGAGGGCTCATTATGTATACAAAAATAGCTCATGATCGCGTTATCTTAAGAACCGATTGATGGATTCCCGCCAAACTTATTTCATGTATGTATCTTGCTGAGCCAATGAACTGAGTAGAGTTTTGGGTCACGAGGTTAAAGGTCAAAGGGGGTCATTGTGTATGCAAAAATAGCATTTAACTAGTATTTAACTCTTAAGCTGCCACCCATACAATGCACCCAATGCCACAGTGCTAATCCCTATTGTGCCAGCCACAAATCTCCTGTGTGCCAAGTTAATTTTAAGGTTGGTTCAAGCGCGTGTTATTTAAATCTTTACAAAAACAAATCGCTAAATTACTCGAGAAAATCCAATCTGACTGTTGTATACAAAGGGCGCGTTCATGCTTGATTTTGACGGCCAGAATCAGGCATCTGTTACGCGTTTAGTTTAAAGGTAAAGACCAGTATTGGAAACGCCCCAATTTCAAAAAATGAAATGGAAGCTCTCATTACCAATCATGTGAAAGAATATGTTTTGACTAATACATGATGATTAAAAATTTGCCGGGAAACCGCCTACTAATTCATATATTTGGTAAATTTGTTTCTCTCATGGTCTGTGAGAGATATAGGGTAGTCCCATATACATCTTTCTGTGTATAGTGCTTGTAACTTTACAAAGAATGGGCCAAATTTCTTATCATTTTGATGATTCCAGAACCTTGCAGATGCTAGATGCTAGATGATCAACCTTTTCTGATCGATTCCACAACGTTTCTTTCACAATGCAATTGCATGACCATAACTGGTCTTTACCTTTAAAACACGCTTGCGTTCATGCTCACTTTTGTAGAATCACCGAAAAACGGCGATCACGATCGCCGATCGTAAACTCACAAAAAGATGCGTTTACAATTTGTAAACGCGTTTAAATGGGGTCAACGCACTGACCTCTAGTGGGTCTACGTAGCATGCGCACACAGGTTTGCGAATCCAGCTGAAGGCCACCCAAGGAGAATTGCCTGGAGAAGTGAGCATGAACAGTGCACCGTGGAACTGCGATTACGATGAGCGATTACGATGAGCGTTACAAATCGCTCATTCTGCCTTCAAAATCAAGCATGAACGCGCCCATAGACGCGTAATCCAAAGCCGATAATCTGATGCACGCGATGGTACTTTCAATAGCGCTGCAAAAGTACTCAGCACGGTACAATGGGCATGAACAATGACTGTTATTACATATGCGCCCTTGCGTGCACAAAGCAGAGTAGCGGTGGCTCGCTAGCATGAACGTGGCATTCAATCGATAGCGCGCTCGCATGCACAGAGCACTATAACAATAGCGCGCTAGCAGTCTCATGGCAGGATATGAGTTAACAAGCAAATTAATTTGAGATGAAAGCTAACTCTGAATTCAAAACTCCTTAGATATTAATGACTATTATCTGCTTGGCTCTGTTTCAATTAAACAACTCATTTCTTGTTTAAAAATTTGTTTTTGGTTTACTTTCAAATTGTTATAGTAGTTCAAAATTTATTGAGATGTTTTATATAGATGACTCTCTTCTCATGATAAAACTTATTATGATTCCTATGATACATGCTGTGATGTTTTTGACTTGTTAAATCTTAAACTTTTCAGACTAAGTCTGTGTTGATATTCATGCAGTCTCTGGTTTCTTGGTAAGGATCTTGAAAAACTTATTTTAAAACTACATCTGTACTCCTTGTTTGAAAAGAATTTTCTTACTTCTCATAGAAAATTATTAAAAACATAATTATTTACAATTTGATGAACAGTTGAATTGTGTAAACCTTGAAGAGGCAAGTGACAGTTTGATCATATTGAGTTTGAAGGAGATTATCTTGCTTTGTTTGACAGGTGTGTACATTGGTTGGCGTTGTCCAGAGTTTACATGGGATTGCATCAGAGTAGGTCGTCTATCAAGGTGCTTCTGTGGTCATCTCCTTCAAGAACATACACCATACAATGGTAAGATAACCATTCTTATATTGATTCACAGATTTGTACTATGTATGACATCCAGGGGCAGTAGTTATATAATAGTGTAGATTGTGCTAATGCAAGGTCCGATGGTTAAAGTTGATATTCATTGCTTATCAATGTGGTTAAATCTCATATCAATGCAAAGGTTATATGTCTACATCAATATTGGACTAATTCCAGCATCCAAGAGGCAAACAGAACGCAGAAATCGCAAATCCAATGTTGATAAACATCCACCCCGGTATACGCCCCTGATTGGGGTCCCGGAGTCACGTTATCGAGTGACGTCACTATATGGACCACTATGATAACGAGCGCACAAGACTATTGATCGCTTGCGTGCAAAACATATCGCTGTGCTTCTTCAATTCACTTTGCTATCTCTATGAATGTACTCTCTATATTACGATTATGGCCGATCTTGACTTAGAATTAGATTTTGAAGTCAACAGTGTTCAGGAGGAGGATAATGAGGACACTGTGAGCTCATATAGTTTTATGAGTAGTAACGATGACCAGGGCGAAATTGGTGAAATAGATGACGATTTAAATGAGGCTGCTCGTCAAGTTGCAGGTGCAGATGCTACTGCTGGTGATGCCGCCGCGGCCGTGCTAGTTAGAGCCGGAGCTCAAGCATACCTACACGTCACAGACACAGTCACAAATAGCACTCTCACAATGACAAAAGAATGACCAATAATGATATATCGGTAGGCCTATATGAATAATTGCCTGATTGTTGCCAGAGCATACCAGAGCATACCACCGTCCGAGTCAGCCAGCTCAGCCTCACATACTGCTCAGCTCCGCTGACGCGTGTTATTCACTTGACGACTTAGCTTAGCTCTATAACAAGGCCGGCCGGCTAGCCTAGTAGCTGACGCGACGGACCGGCCAGCAAAGGGAGCACCGCAAGGCTATCTGCCGCTGCGAAGATCAGTGCAGTGCAGTCTTCAGTTCAGTTTCTATTCTCATACTCTAATTTATTTCTTATTCATATCCTTCATTTAAAAATCATGTATAAGATAACAGTATTTTCAACATATCTGTATTGGAAATCACAGTAAATCACTGCGTTGATAAAGACTTAGGTGCGGCGGTCTATACTCATATACTCATAGCTTCAATGCGTGAAATCTAATTCTGCTGATCTGTAAACAAACCGGTCACTTTTTTTTACTTTCGGACTTTAGGGCTCGAGATTTTGCAGAAAATGCCATTTCTTGTATGTATAATTAGATTCAAGTTTGTTTTTTTTTGTAATGGTACTCATTCAGCTTGTATCTTCAACTCGTTCGTTCGTTTTAATTTACAAATTTGAGCTTATATGTATATGCACCATCGACCATGCAGGTCCGCCTGTCGAGATCAACAACTTCGTCGAAGCTATGGTCTGATTTAACGCTAATTTAACAGGCTTACAAAACCGATGAGGAATATCCGAACAAAAAAACATCAATCTTGTTATTCTATATGTGTGTCATGTTTCTTTGCATACGTTAATGTGAAAAAATAACATGTAAAATTGGACGGAATATATTGGTAAAAGATGTTGTTTTACGCGTTGTATGTAGCTGTACTGTTAACGGCGCGCCAGCTGGGTCCATATAACTACGTCACTAAAACAGCGTCTCACGCTATAAGTCAACTTCCGTGTTCTAAGAATCTGAGAGGTGTTTCTAAATTGTGTTTTAGAGGATTTCAATATATTGATACGATATGTTGTGAATATCATGGTAATCTAGATGCTTTTCGCTTTCCATTAATATATTATTTGCCATATTTGTGCTTTTTAATGAATATCAACTTTAATATATTTTTAAAAATGCTGTAAATGGGAAATACTTCTCCCAAGAAGAAAAGTATAATCTTTGGGAAGGGCTACAGTGGCTATTTCAGTAATTCTACACAAACTCATCCAATGCTCTCCATGTATTTTGAGCAGTGTTGATACTTGAATATATAATGTATTAAATGAGAGAGACCGCTTGATATTTAGTTTAAGAAAAATGAAATCCATCAAACTATAGCTGACAGCCTTTTTAAAAATTGTGAACCAGTTAAAAATATCTTGAAATTACATATTACTCATATTTGATTACTTAGCAAGGAAAACAATCTCTCCAAAGTTTGCAGTTTCCTTGCCAGCCATTTTCCCCATGGGAGTCAACATTATGATTAAAACATAGAACCAATTGATGGATTCCTGACAAACTTTAGTCATGTATGTATCTTGCAGAGCCGATGAACTGATTAGATTTTGGGGTAACGAGGTCAAAGGTCAAAGGTCACAGGACTCATTATGTATGCAAAAACAGCTCGTGATCGCGTTATCTCAAGAACCGATTGATGGATTCCTGCCAAACTTCGGTCATGTGTGTTACTTGCAGAGCCGATGAACTGATTAGATTTTGGGGTCATGAGGTCAAGGTCAAAGGTCTTGCGGCTCATTATGTATGCAAAAATAGCTTGTTCATGATCGCCTTATCATTAGAACAGATTGATGGATTCCTGCCAAACTTAGATCATGTATGTATCTTGCAGAGCCAATGAACTGAGTAGATTCTTGAGTTATGAGGTCAAAGGTCAAAGGTCATGGGCTCATTACGTATGCAAAAATAGCTTGTGAACGAATTCTCATTAGAACTGACAGATGGATTACTATTTAACTCAGGACATCTTGCAGAGCCAATGAACTGAGTAGATTTTAGGGTCATGAGGTCAAAGATCAAAGGGTTGTATATGAGAAATTGCTTGTAATCACGATATTCTGAGAACCTGTTAATGGATTACAATTGAACTTTAATTTGAAAATTTCTTCTGTTTTGGTTTGTAAAATTGCTCTATGACGGAGGCATCATTTTCGACTGCGCGCAGTCGAAGTTTCATCTAGTTTTTAATTGCTAATCAAGTTTGATTTTTTGTTGTTGTTGTTGGTTATATTGCAGTGGATTTAAAATGATCGATTTGAATTGTAATTATAACCCTGACAAGAAGTCTACTCTCCTTTATATTTATTTTAGGTCATAGTGTCCGTGTACCTTGCAAGCAAGATGTCTGTCGCTGTAAAGCCTTTGCGTTCATACCAGGCCGTCCAGAAGACATTGGAGAATTCTGGTTTCAGCGCAGAAGGAACTTTGACCCCTCCACATGGAGAGCAAAATGCAAGTGTAAACACACCCATGAGCAACATGATGTGACTGGATTAAGAAGATGCAAAATTGGGGGTAGGTTAGGCAGAGCTGCCAACTAGTACGGATTTTCCGTAATTGGTACGGAAATTAACGACCATTACGGAATGTTGTCTCAAATTACGGATTTAAAAAAAAAAAAAAAAAAAAAGTTTTTTTTTTTTTTTTATTTTTTTTTTTAAAATTTTTTTTTAATGAATTAAATATGATTTATCGTAGCGAGTGCTGTGAATAGGAGCCATTTTTCATGATAAACTGTGTTGTGATGACCTGAAATTCAATACTTAACATCTTTGTGTGAGTAAAATCACCAAAAATTTCAGATAATCATGCGTCCGCGCAGTGTTGGCGTGTCGTTTTTTTAGATTCATAGCGCCGCATAAGAAATTACTGATTTATACCCCAAATTACTGATTTTGAGCCTTGTGATTACTGATTTTCTGTTCTGGAGGTTGGCAGCTCTGGTTAGGCTGCTGAGCAGTGTGTGGAGATTAGTTTTATTAAGTTCACTTTCTTTTCCAGCATTGCAGTATTTGATGTATCATGCCGCTACTTTGATGTTTGATTTATCAATGTTACCAATTATCAATTCAATGATTTTTTTTTAATAAAAAATATTTATATCAGATTGAAAATCTTGTGAAAAAATACAGTTATTTTTTTAATATCCAACTTTCCTATCAAGATCACCAGAAGTTAAGTTTATTGTCTCCCTTTCCAAGTCCCAAACTATCTTGTAATGCATCAGCTTTATTTGTTTAACAGTAACGACAGCTTCATTATCATATAAATGTAGCTGTTAATAACGAAAGAAAATATAAGTGCTTAAAGCATAAGATAAAGGTTTGTTATGATGTTTATTTGGAACAGGCTGTGGCTGTGGGGCTTTCCATTCTAACTTCCTATGTGCTGCATGTGATCGGCATTGGGAGGATCATGAAACAGTGTTTGAGACTGAGACAGAAAGAATGAAGAAAAACATTCCATGTGGTAAGAAATTTAGGGATGAGCTGAAAATAAATGAATGGAATGCAAATTTAATTTGATTTTTATCATACGGTAATTAACGTTGTATAAACCGCCCTCGTGTATTAACCGCACCCCTCTTTTTCGTCCTTTGCCGACTTAAAAAACAGTAGAGGACCTAGGATAGAACCTTGTGGTACGCCATGTAATAGAAGAAAAATTGGAGGAATTATTATTATAAACTACATATTGAAATCTATCAGAAAGATTACTTTCAAACCAAGCTGACAGATAAATTTGAGTGTTGTTCTAGTTTCCGAGTGGTGAGTCAACACACCGATTACTGAGCTGGGAGACATTGCAAGGCATAGCGCCAGATGGAGGGGCATAAATCGAAACTTTAATATTATTATTTTTTTTGTTTTTATGCCTCCGTTACGAAGTAGCCGGAGGCATTATGTTTTCGGGTTGTCCGTCTGTACGTACGTACGTCTGTACGTACGTACGTACGTACGTCCCGTTCTCGTGATCGCGTTATCTGAAGAACCGATTGATGGATTCCTGCCAAACTTTGGTCATGTATGTATCTTGCAGAGCCGATGAACTGATTAGATTTTGGGGTTACGAGGTCAAAGGTCAAAGGTCACAGGACTCATTATGTATGCAAAAACAGCTCGTGATCGCGTTATCTGAAGAACCGATTGATGGATTCCTGCCAAACTTTGGTCATGTATGTATCTTGCAGAGTCAAAGAACTGATTAGATTTTGGTGTCATGAGGTTAAAGGTCAAAGGTCACAGGGCTCATTATGTATGCAAAAACAGCTCGTGATCGCGTTATCTCAAGAACCGAGTGATGGATTGCTGCCAAACTTAGGTCATGTATGTTACTTGCAGAACCGATGAAGTGATTAGATTTTGGGGTCACGAGGTCAAAGGTCAAAGACCACAGCGCACATTATGTATGCAAAAACAGCTCGTGATTGCGTTATCTCAAGAACCGATTGATCGATTGCTGCTAAACTTAGGTCATGTATGTTACTTGCAGAACCGATGAACTGATTAGATTTTGGGGTCACGAGGTCAAAGGTCAAAGGCCACAACGCACATTATGTATGCAAAAACAGCTCGTGATCGCGTTCTCAAGAACCGATTGATGGATTCCTGCCAAAATTAGGTCATGTATGTTACTTGCAGAGCCAAGCACTGAGTAGATTCTTGGTTCATAAGGTCAAAGGTCATGGGCTCATTTTGTATGCAGAAATAGCTTGTGAACACATTCTCATTAGAACTGACAGATGGATTACTATTTAACTCAGGACATCTTGCAGAGCCAATGAACTGAGTAGATTTTAGGGTCATGAGGTCAAAGATCAAAGGGTCATATATGTATATGAGAAATTGCTTGTAATCACGATATTCTGAGAACCTGTTAATGGATTACAATTGAACTTGAATTCGAAAAATGTGTTCTGTTTTGGTTTGTAAAATTGCTCTATGACGGAGGCATCATTTTCGACTGCGCGCAGTCGATTTCCATCTAGTTTTGTGTGTACCGTGTATAAACCGCACCCCCGACTTTGAATTTTTTTCAGCGGCAAAAAGGTGCGGTTAATACACCGTCAATTACGGTATCTAGAGTGAGACCGCCAAACTTCGGAAGTTTGGACACTTAAGACATAAGGGGGGAAAACATAAAATTCTCTTTTAATTATTGAAAGATCAAATACACTATTATTGTGCAAATACTGTTTATGTATGTCATGTAAAAGAAAATTAGTAAAGAAAATGGAAAACTAGAATTATTTACTTACCTGCAGAATCTTTTTTTCATTCCAAACTTCGGACGCACTTGCCAAATTTCGGACGTTCATGTATAGCGCACATATAGCGTGGATAATACGCATTCATCGGAGGCATGAAACCGGATCAAAGATCATAAGACGGGGGAAAGTTTGACTACTAGGTTGATTTCATGAAAAAAATATCATTTTCTCTTTTTGGGTAGATTTAAGTTAGGTAGAACTATAAGAAAGGTGTTTTTTACAACACTCACACAATATTGTGGTGCTGAAATCTTACGAAAGCGCTATTTTTTTGTAGTAAAAATGACACTCAATGTTGCCTGTCCGAAGTTTGGGAGAGCGCCATCTTATGGTAGGGGGGTCTGTATATATACCCCTAGCTCCCGGTATAGGAGGCCATTAGAAAAATTTCTGCAATAGGGTGAACAAGTATCTCATAAACTCTCAAAATTTTTCCTTGACGGTCCGGACGTGATTTCCATGAAAGCTAAAGGTCTGACACATGGGATGCCATTTTCATGAAAATTCTTCTGGTAATTCATACTGTATACTGCAGATGAAGTAGAACAACCAGTAACGTTGCTATTAATTGCTGAAAAGCTGGACACCCTTGAATATTCCTCAATCTCGATTCAGACCCGGACAATCTCCTAAAATTTACATTAATGACACTTGTAAGTTGGAAACTGTAGAAAATGACGCTTGTTTAAGTCTTTATCTGATCTAAGGGGAATTGTTACAATAAAAAAATAATTAAAAAAAAGCAGAGCCTCCCGACCGGTTCGGATTGATATGCCCTGCGGTCCGGATGCAGACCCCAGTCCGGACTTTGAGAAGCCCTGATCTAGGGGATCGTATTTGTCTCGCCTGCGTAGCAAAAAGCGAGACATACATGTAGGCGCCACTTTTCCGGTGACGGCGGTAGCATCAACATCAAAATCTTAACCAAGGTTAAGTTTTTAAATTTTTAGTATAATTATAAAAGTTATAAAAGTATAAATTCATATTCAATGAAACTTGGACTAAAGGGTTATCAAGTATCCCTAATGATGTGAGGAGAATTTCAGGTCACAAAGTCAAGGTCAAAGGTATCATATCTGTTAGATAGATTGAAATAGATTGCCGCTAGTACTGACTGTACTATATTATAGCAAGGATTAGCCAGTCAGCCTCTGTATGCGTGTGTGTGTGTGTGAACTTAATGCGTACAGCATGATAAGCCGGTATACGGCTGGGGGGGGGGGGGGGGTTAAGGGTGTCCATGATGTTGTCAGTGATTCAGCTTTTTTCCTTGTAAATGTTTTAAATTTATATAACCTAGTAATCAGTTATTGTTAATACATGTTTTTTTCCTTGTAAATATGTTTTTAAGTTACACAACCTTGCCATTTCCTTGTAATAATTTGTGTAAATTACCATGTTTTCTTTTTGTTGTAAATGAATTTCTTGATCTCGGTTGGCGGACTCTGGGACCTGCTTGTTTTAAGGGCTCTGCGCGCGTGAGACTGTATCGTATCCATGATCGATTGTATCCTACCATCTTTCATGTTTTGAATTGCGCAGATCCTTGAAACACGTTGGTCTCTTTGCCAATCCGCTGGGATTGAGATGTCCATCCTCCAAAGGGGCCCCACTCACAAGCATTGCTTTTTGGGGTCTCGATTGGATCATGTTTGTTCGTCATGATTACTATGCCCTGTGTTTTTTTTTTTTTAATAAACTGAAACTGAAACTGAAAGGTCATTTCAGGTCAACAAACTTAGACTATGTTGAGGCATCATCATCAAAAACTTAACCTGAGGTTAAGTTTTGATTTGTTGTTGTTTTGATCTGTCCTTACGTCCTGTTCCCGTGATCACGTTATCTCAAAGGTCACAGATTAAAGGGTCATACATGAATATAAAAAAAATAGCTTGTAATCACGATATTCTGAGAACCTGTTATGGATTACAATCGAACTTGAATTTAAAAAATTGCTTCTGTTTTGGTTTGTAAAATTGCTCTACGATGAAGGAATCATTTATGACTGCGTGCAGTCGAAGTTCCATCTAGTTTAAATATAATTTTGAAAGTATAAACTATTATTCAATGAAACTTAGACTAAAGAGTTATCAAGTATCCCCAATCATGTGAGCAGAATCTCTGGTCACTAAGTGAAGGTCAAAGGTCATTTTCGGTCAACAAACTAAGACTATGTTGTGGCATGAGGTTAAGATTTTGAATTTTTATCATAATTTAAAAGTATACATTCCTATTCCATGAAACTTGAACATAAGGGTTATCAAGTATCACAAATCATGTGATTATTTTTTAAGTGACAAAGTCAGGGTCAAAGGTCATTTTAGGTCAGTAGACTTGGATGATGTTTTTCACAACCCTATTGTGAGAATTAATAAATCAATTTTTGTTATTTATTCATATTTCATGAAAGTTATCAATCTTGATACAAATAATTCTTTTGATGATTCTTAGTCAATATTCACTTCAAAATGCTGATTATATTCAGAGGATTTCATTTTGGGGACCTGTTAATGGGCCGCTCTGCCTATAAATAATGTCCCAATTTCAATTTTTCATCATATCGAATTGCGTGATGCAGGCGAGACCGCCGAGAGCGTTTCCCTTGTCTTAGAATAATGATTGAATAGAAGCAGCATATAAAGTGTGCAACTATGAAACTATGAAACAATATCAATCGTAACCATTTCCATTATGATCTTACAGCCAATCGAAGCATGTTTTTCTCACTTATAAAATAGTATTTTAGAATGTACATGTACTTTTTTAAATCTTCATATGTTTTTGATGTATTAACTTTGTATGCCCCCACCTGACCATTCATACAATTGAATCTACTTTTCTACAGGCCAAGACTATCTTCCATTTAGTGAGATGCCTAACATGCGTAACATGGCACTGACTGGAGTGGACAGTGATCCTGGCATCTACACTGCCCTGGTTGAGGGTGAGGGAGCCATTCCAAGGACTAACCGAGCCATCACGCAGGACACACCCTTCATGCCTCCATCGGGGTCAGGGTTCAATCCTGTATGGGAGTAGGCACAGTTCTTTTGTGCTTGTTACCCTCGAAACATAAGTTTGGGACTTACTCGCTGTTTTTGGAAAGTTGAAGATTGGGACTAGACAAGAACAAAGAGTACTAATTGAATCTCTTAAATCAGAATAAAGAAATAACTGACATCAGTGTATAAACTTGGTGTAATAATTACAATGTAAAACATTTTTTTTCCCGCCTGAGAGTATTATATACCTAGAAGATAATGTATATTGCGAGTTGCAGAGAGAGCAGTTATCCACAACATTCTGTGAATATTCCATCCATGATGTTGATTAGGATGTACATTTGGAAAGGTTGCATTTAATGTAAAAATATAGGAACATTCTTTATATATATGTGAAAATGTCTGAGTGTAGACCTATTTAAATAGTGCAATAGTAAATACCAATGAAAGGGTATACCCGTAGATACATTTTATAAGATGATGACGTGGATCCTAATCAAATGATTGGTTGAAAGCGTACACGTGACCAGGCATTTCTTTAATTTGGATAATGACCGGTCATTATCCAATTCTAATGACTGGTCATTAGTAAAATCATGCTATAAAACATAGTTTCCATAAAACAAATAAAACATAATCTTATAAAACAAATGATTTACATCATTTTGTTCGGGCATTAGTAAAATTACCCACACTCGGTACCTTCAAAACAGTCCAAACACCCTTGGCTACCGCCTCGGGCATGTTAGACTGTTCCAAAGGTACCTTGTGTGGGTAATTCTTACTAATGCCCCGACTGCTGTGTATTATTTGTATATTATATAGACTACATGCTGACACAAATGTATGTTCAGCTGTTTGATTTTCTTTGTAAATATGAAATTAGAAATATAGTTGATATTTATGTTTTGTACATATTTGTTAATGTTTTAAAGCCCCACTGCACTACTTGTAGCTACTTGCGCCCTCTATATAGCAAACAATACCTAATCGGTGACCATTGGTCCCACCATGATCCCCTTTTTCTTATGTTAATTGAGAGCTGATTTGATGAGATAACCCCCTGTCAGTGACCTTGCAGGGTGGTCTAATTCCTCCTGTAAACTAGTACAGATCTTAATTTGAAAGCACTTAACTTTAAAGAAATGATGCTCCTTTTCAATTTTGATTTGATTTTCCATACAGAGAAAATGATGATTCCTTTTAAATCAAGAGCAGGAAAAAGAATCTCAATTTCCACTCATTCAGCATGCACTCAATAAGCCATAAATATTTGCTATTCTATACCAAATTCTGAAAGGTTCCTATATATAATAGTGGCATGCAGCCCTATGACAGAACAGCCTGTAGAACAGCATGTAGGTCTTGTAGACCTTCTGAAAATACATAGACTCGGTAAAAATACCATAATAGCAAAATGAAACCAAAAAGTGTAGTAAACTTCATATATCTGTATCTTATATCACACAGGTAAGTAATTTAACTTGGTGATGATTGCCATTAGTTTTTGTTTTTGTTGCGATTAGTTCTGTTTTTTCACCTCCATTTTTTCTTTTTGCTGAGTGTACATATATGTACATACATGTACATACATATATGTACACTCAGCAAAAAGAAGAAAATGGACACTCTTGTGTCCAACATTTTCATATTAAGTGTCAATGAAATATAATAGAATACATATCAAATTGAAAAAAAGTAATACTCTACCAACATCAGATAAGATCAAGTTTTGAACGTTTACGCTTGGATGGGCACATTCTTTTTTAATTGTTAGAGGGTCTGATTAAGAAAATTGCGAAAATAGGTCAATTAGCCATTCAAATGTTAATGAACATGAGCATCTGTGAGACCTTCTTCTTCAACAATGACTCTCCTTTCCACCCAAAATCGTGGACAAGCCATAGGAAAGCTCCATGGCTCATCAACATTTCAATGGTCAGATGCCCCTTTTTTGCAATTTTCTTGCAGGGACTCTGTTATTGTTAAAAGGCTCTGCACAATCGTGCAAGAATGGTATGCTTCCAGTTGCATATCATCTTAGAGATGATTCATTTATGTTTATTTAGATATCTGAAAGATAAGTTTATATTCCTTTATTTGAAAATAACTTTAAATAGTGTCTACATTCTTTTTTTGCATAGTGTATATATATATATATATATATATACCTGCCCTTTATGTATTATATTTATCTTTCTATATGCCCATCGTCTTTCTGCCTCTTTTGAGTGTATTTTTGTTGTGAACAGCAATTTCCGTCCCATTATGCATAAACTTTTAAATTATACATGTACTTTTAAAACAGAATTCATACCATTTCCTCACTTGATGTTTACATTGTACTATTGTGAAGAAACTGTTCTATATGGTATTTGAAATTCTGTTAGTGTGATACTGAAATAATGAATAATGTATTCTCCTAGTCATACTATTATGATCAATGGTTTTTACTATGACATTGTGTATAAATATATATATATATATATATTTAAGTGCCTACTATTGCTTTAATAGACTGGCATGATTTTATTTGTAATGTGTGACTTTTAAAGTAAATGTAGATGAACTTTTTAATTTGAAAATTTGTATATTGGTTGTTCTTGCGTACATCAATTCCCTCATCACACACACACACACACACACACACAAAAAAAACAAAGCAGATGGAAAATAAGTCGGCCTTCAATGTTAAAAACATTAAATACCGGTAGTGCTCACGCCTTTAATATCATTGTTTTCAAATTGTATACCGAACAGATAAGCACCACATATTGTTTTTATATTATATTATCAGGTGAGGTAATGTTATTTATCCAACAGGATGGGTTTGAAGACAGCGAAAAGTTAAAACTGAGAAAAAGAAATAAACAAACTAGACTATTCTAGGCCTAGATCTAGATCTGATATGGGATTCAATTCTATGGGTCTAACAAAAACCAATAGACTCCAATAGAGACCAATAGAATTTTTCTAATGGTCTCTATGGGATTTTCGACCTAGGGGCCATTCCACCAGTGTTCCTCCTCAACCCTTCTCCCTCCCCGACCTTTCTCTGACTATCTCTTTCCCTTACCACCAGTGTTCCTCCTCAATCCTTCTTCCTCCCCAACCTTTTTTTTTCTCTCTCTCTCTCCCTTACCACCAGTGTCCCTCCTCAACCTTTCTCTGACTCTCTCTCTCTCTCTCTCTCAGGCATGGATCCAGGGGTGGGGGGGGGGGGGCAGCTGAGGGGGCCTTGCCCCCCCCCCCAAAAAAAAAAGAGAGAGAGAGAAGGAAAAGAAGAGAAAGGGAAAGAGGAGAGAAAGGAAAGAAAGAAAGAAGAGGAAGAAAAGAAAAGGAGATTTTTTTTTGGGGGGGGGGGGGGGGGGGTGAGAGCAAAAATACCTTGCTTCCTAGGCTATTGCCCCAACCCCTCCCCCCCCCCCCCCCCCCCCCCAAAAAAAAAAAAAAATGGAAGGAAGGAAAGGGAAAGAAAAAAGGAAAAGAGATAAAGGGAAGGTAAAAAAGAGAAAGAAGAAAATGCCCCCCCCCCCCCCTGAAAGAAAAAAATTCAACCATGGTTTATTTCTAATTTGATTTTCAGTGATTTACAGATGTAACATTACATAATTTTCCCGGTGGGGTCATTCCCTGCAAAGAGTGACACGTATGACTGTTACCACCAATGCATATAACCCCTTTTGCGGTCAATTTCAAGGACATTTTGTGAAATTTAACCCCCTTTTTACGTCAAAACAAGGACAAAATCGTACTTTGGAATACCCCTATTTATAAAATTGTAAGGACACTTTCGCAAATATACCCCTATTTTACCATATTTCAAGGACAAGACTCGGCTCCGAGAATTTTCTTCTCGGTTTTCTCTTTTCCCTTTTCCTGACCCCTATTTATCAATTTTGGGGACACCTGTGCACCCCTATTTTCTTTATTTCGAGGAATATTTTTTCGGCGGACATTGCTTGAAATTGACCCCTTTTTCTACGATTTTGGTAACGGTCATGCGGTCCGGAAGTCACATTGAGTGACCCCACCGGGATAATTTTCCGGTAGTTTCTTCGCTTTTTAGTAAATTATACGTTTGTCGGAAAATGACAATTCCCAAATTTATAGTTACGCAAGAAATATGCTATTTAGAGGTTGACATGTCAGGGCCTGGGGAACGGCGGGGCTTTGGGGGCTCAAATTACCTCCTCCCCCACACTTTTTTTGAAAAAGTATATTCAAGAGACAATAGAAAGAGAGAAAAAAAAGAGTGACCTACCAGTGTCACAAAATAATGAGGTAACAAAAATGCTCATCTGACCGTAATGAATGCCCCATGAATTCTTCTGTGGGCTCCGTCCCTAGACCCCACGCCACTTAATACTACGCACTACCTGATCGTAAATACTTAAGCTTCCTCTCACCCACTTTGAAAAATGTTGATCGGGGCATGCATCCAAGAGTGGTGGTACGTGATGCAGATTTTTTCTTTGCCCCCCCCCCCCCTCAAACATTTTTGCTTATAACGCCACTGCTAGATACCATTATGTACCATGGTTTCAAAGTTGCCCCCCCCTCAGAAATCGTAAATTGTACCTTCTTTAAACACAAAAATTAAAGCGCCCCCCCCCCCCTTAGCAAAAAAAAAAGTTTATTTTTTCGCCCCCACTTTTTACATTTTATAAGTGTTACCTTCCCTCCACCCCCTGCTTATTCACCAGCTTGATGATTCGCTGCATAATATTTCCTCAAAATCGGACCTTAAAAAAATATATGTGCTCTTCCCCCCCCCCCCCAAATAAAACTTATCTTCTTCAACAGGTATACATATATAGAGAGAGAGAGAGAGAGAGAGAGAGGGGGGGGGGGGGGGTGGAGAAAGTGGAGAAAGTAGAGTGGATGAGTATGCCGATTACTACATAGCTTTGAGAGTTGTAGAGGAAAGGCAAATAACACTTTGCAAGGATGGGCTATATGGAATGAATATGAAATCACTTCAAAGTTGAAACAATATTTGATTTCGTATCCAACTCTTAAAAGATTTAGTTTGTATGGTGTTTTTTAACTATTTTTCTCACAATTTTTTTCTTTGTATCATTCATTTCCTCTATATATTGTATTTATTGGTACCACCACTCCACTACTATTCACTCCACACATAGATTTGCTTGTAATATTTATATATGTTTTTGTAGGTGTTTATTATTTAATATTAAAAAAATGATTGTATTTTCATATTGTAATTTTAAGCAGGGGATGATCCTGATAAAGCTTTGTGGCTTTTGATCACCCCCTCTGCAGGTTCATCTTTTGTTTCAATGCTTATATATTTGATTGCAATTTATATTGTGTTTTATGAATCTGTGGAAATAAATAAAATTGAAATTGAATTGAATTGAAAGAGAGATGAAAAGAGAGATGGAGGGAGGGAGAGAGGGAGAGAGAGAGAGAGAGAGAGAGCACAAGAAAGAATAGGAGTGGGGTGAAATAATACATACTGTTAATTTTGTAGTGCCCTTATATAGAGAAACATTTTGAATGACGAAATCATATGATACTGTAGTGATTTGCTGCTTCTGATCA